TGGAAAACAATACATATACAAATATTTAGGATTCCAACAGGCCAAACTTACAGAACATGCACAGATAAAAGAAAGATTAACACTTGAATATCAGAACATGTTACATGCAGTACAAAGAATTCATCTAAATGCAAAACATACTATTAAAGCTATTAAACTATATGTTGTCCCTGTACTCATGTATTCTTTTGGAGTTATACACTGGACATTACAGATCTCAAGCACCTCCAAAGGAAAACAAGAACAACACTTACTATGCATAAATAATATCATCCAATAAAACATCAACAGCACAGCGTGATATATTAAACTAACCTCTAAAAAAATGGTGCGTTTCCTCAAATAACAAATTGTCACAAACATTTTCGAACATAAAGTTCCTCAGGTGAGAGAAATGGACCAAAATTTGAAGAAAAATTCGATGGAACACTTTCTGAAAGAGCTCTGTAAAAAACGATTTGAAAGAAACCTTGTGCGGGTGACGACATCGATGCGCATGCGCCTTCCTCAGAAGTAGCAATTTCTCTGTATTAACATCTGTCGTATATAAATGCTTGCCACGCTACGGATAAGGATAACGCTTCCTTACTGTTAATACACTTATTATCTTGGGCAGTTTTGTATATATATATTGCCTCTATCCATCTCAAATGCTCCATATGCTGCGTCTATATGTGATGTGGACTTGTCTCTTTCTAGCAATTTCCGAATAAAGCTTCTCTAGATACGGATTGTATGTGACCAGAATATTGTCTTTATGGTCTGTTGTTTCTTGCTCCTGCACACTGGTTTGCGTTGCTAGTTGGGGTTGAAATATTTTCCTGGATAACCTACTTATCAGGTTATAGTAACCATGGCATTCAGCAATATGAGTTAGTGTTAAGCTTGGTTTTAAGAGCATGCCTTGTTGAGGAGTGAATGTAAGCCCTTTTGATTAAGGCATTAAACACTGCTACTTTATACTGTACAGGATCACAAGATCCTATCTGTATGTACGTACAACCATGGAGGCATATATCTAGCGTAAAGGTGATGAAGACCCAGGACTACTCATATGTATTTCCTGGGTGTAAAAGGAAGAAGGAAAAAGGATTTTAGGGAAGAGGTGAAGGTGAAGTAATAAAGCAAGATAGGAAAGGGGATGAAAGGGAAGCATCATGAGTGCCCTGCTTTTTTTATTGAAACATAAATCAAAACATACAAAATGGCACCTGGCTGATAAAAATACAAAATTTTAATTATTTACAATTATTTACATTGAAGATGTTTACATTGCTGACAGTTTGTTACCCAAAACATGGCTAATACTTTTGACCCTTGAAACTATGTACAATTTAATGTAAGAGATGCCCGGTAACCAATACAACTAGAATTAATGATATTACAATTCTATTGATGTTTAAGGTAATTATTAAATGTAATTAACAAAATCACAGTATTTAAATACAATATATCTATTCCGAGTGTACATTATATTAAAAGCTAATACATAATGTCCGTACATTAGTACGTTTTGTTACTTTAACAATGACAATATAAAAACTCATTCTCTGGTCAATGACTTTTGACCTGAAATACATAACAATTAATAGTGTATTTGTTGCTTTACTTATAAATACTATAAACATAGAAGAAATTGCCGATATCACTTGAGTAGTTATGCAGTAGTTGACTAATTCACCAAGGTGAAGAACACATCGTTTCTGCATGTCATCACTACTTGAATTGTCAATGATGATAACCTGGAGCAAAGTCCGAGACCTTTTCTTATGATCTTCCTCTGTCGATGCAAGTTATCTCTATTGAACTCTGCTGTTTTTCTTTTCAATGTTGAGGATGCTGTTCCTTTGAAACTGATGCAGAATTAATGTACTGAATTTTTGTAATCCATACACTATCACAATATTTCACAAATGTTATTGTTCAAAACACCTTTTCTAAAGTTTACCTCATAGATAAACACATGTAATTTTCAAACACACATTTTTTTGGCGATGATGCTAATGCACAATTATGTTCTTCTGAAGTTAGTCTCTAGTGCTTTGGTTCTGGTGATAAATGTTTGTAGTTCATGATAGAGATCACTATTGTTCACAAAATGATGTGGCTGACATGGCCAATTAAGGCCATGTTGAATAGTATTTTGAATGAGAGAGCTACGCTCCCTGTCAAAAAGGTTGCAGCTGAATATGAGATGATTGATGTCTTGAGGGGAGGTACCATCACAATCACAAAGTTCGTTGTCTCTTAATCCAAATCTATGCAGGTACTGTTTGAGATTTCCATGACCTGTTAACATCTGTTACATTATGTTGTTAATGTTCAGATGCTTCATTTTGAGATGATGCTGAATGTTTAGTATGAAACCATATGTTACTCTCCTCATGTCTCTTTTCTCCCATTCCATTTGCCATAATTGGATGACGGTTTCTTGAAGCAAATTTTTTATATTCTTTTCTGTGAGTTCAGTATATATGATGTTATGTTCACTATTGGCAAATTGCTTTGCCAGTCTATCAGCTGCCTCATTTCCTTGGATTCCACAATGTCCTTTCACCCAAGCGAAACTTGCCTTAAAGCTGTGCAAATTAGTCAATTTGTCCCGAATAAGATTTGTCATGTAGCATTTTGAATTTTCACTATTTATCTTGCGTAATGCCATTTGGCTATCGGTGCATATTCTCAAATATCCTTTGTAATTTTTAAGAGTGTAGATATAGGAGATGGCTTGATAGATGGCATATATTTCAGCTTCTGGCACCATGGTGTAGCTAACCAGTTTAAAACCAGCTTCGTATCTGTACTGTGAGTTGCTGTGTATAAAATGGATGAATGCTGCTCCTACATTATTATTGTTTTGAGAGCCGTCCGTAAATATGAGGTATTTAGGAATCGGCTCCACATTAACCTCTGTTATCTCCACTTTGTTATTACTTGCTGGATGAGTATAGGTATTAGTCTTCTTTATTATGCCTTCCTGCACAAAGTTTTTGAGAAAAGTGTAGTCTAGGTTAGGGAGAATTCCTATCTCTGCATACTTCTTTAGGTTATTGTTGCCATCATCAGTAATGAGTATATTTTTAAGTGTCTATGTCCATGTTAATTTCTTGGCTTTCAAGTGTAGTGGAGCATATCCTGCAAGTACCTGTAGTGTGGTGTTTGACATCGTCTAGTACGCTGTACATAGTCTAATAAGCAAAGGTCTTTGTATTGAGTTTAATTTGTGTTGATGTTGATCTTATCAATTTTCTCACCCCAGAAAGGTGCACCGTACAGGATAGCCAGTTCTATTCAGGCTTTGTTTAACGTTTCAATAGCCTTTTGATTTAGGGCCCATTCTTTATGGGCAATGCTGAGCATGGTATTCATTATTTTGCAAACTTTTCTTGCCATATACTCTGTGTTTAGTCCAATTGAGACTTCTATCAATTATTAATCCCAAATGTTTAATTTTCATTGACATTTTTTATTTTTCCATTTATGTGTATTTTAAAAGCTTTTTGCAGTTGTTTTCCCTTAAAAATAAAAAAAACATTTAACTATCCAGCATAATTCTTTAATAACATAAAAATGTTTTCAAACGCATTGAGCGTTCATCATCAGTTATTTCTCTAATTCGAAATGGGAAATTCGAAAAATTACACAATCGAACTTCAAATAAACGGTTATGTAAAAAATTTTGTTTTCCCTTTGTAAGTACCATACTTTCACATTTGTCGTAATTTATTTCAAGTTTATTCAGTGTTCCCCATTCATATATTTTACTAAGTATCCCATTGGCCTCCTCCTGCAACCTTTCACCGTTTTTATGTGACATCATTAGGATCGTATCATCGGCGTAGCTTTGTATCAGCCAGTTTTCTTCATTATTGTTGTTCATTTTGAGCAGATCAATACATACAGTATTCCACAATCCTGGGCCCAATCTCGACCCTTGCGGGCATCCTCTATTTATGGGGCAAATGATGTTGTCTCTATGGTGGTAGACCCCAGTAGTTCTTTCTGATAGGTAGTTATTAAGGACTGCAAAAAGATTTTTAGGGCATCTGGCCTGTTTTAGTTGACAAAAGAGTGCTGGCCACCAAAGTGTATTAAATGCATTCTTATAGTCGATGGCCACAATTAGGGCATGTTCTTGTTGATTCCAAGCATTTTTGACAAAGTTAATGAGCTTATATATCGTATGATAAGTTGAACGTCCTTTAGTAAATCCATATTGATTTTCACTCATCCAGTTATTATTGTATAGGTGGAAAGTTACTCTGTCTATTATCAAACCATCAAGTACCTTACCTGGTATTGACAATAGACTTATTGGTCTATAATCTTTCATTTTAAAGTCTCCATTCAAACCTGACTTTGGGATAAATTTAATATCCGCCTGTTTCCATATTTTTGGAAAAATCCCTGTTTTAAGACATTTGTTATACGTGTATGAGAATGCCATTGGAACTGCACAAAATGTATGCTTTAGCATTTCTGGTGTAATTCCATCCGGTCCAGGCGCTTTTTTATACTTAATCGAAGTTATGGCTCTTAATTTCCACAAATGTAAATGGTCTGTCATTTTCCGTTTCCGGAGGACTGTAGGTATTAAATCTAATCATTTCTTGTGTGTTGTTATCTTCTTCCTCTCTGTTGCTGGGAAAGTGTGTGTCCATTAAGTAGTTGACAGTTTCTGCATATTCATTTGTGTATGTTCCGTCAGTTTTCAAAATGTTCGCTGGGATTTCACTTCTTGTCTTTTTCCTACAAACCATGTAGTATGGCTCACTCCATACATTTTGTTTACTGCTTTGAGTACAAAATTGTTGTCACGCCTGACTCCTAGCTCTATTTATTTTTGTTTTGTAGTCATTAAAACATCTAATCATTATTTATTTCTTCTTTCATTCTTTCTTTCCGGATCTATTTCTGAATGATATCTTTTTTGTAATTTACGTGTTTTTTATCTTAAAATGAAGAGCTCATTGTTCCACCAGTGTGCGTTTTTAGTTTTAACTTGCATATAAGTCATAGAGTGATTATAAGCTTGTATGATACAACTGTTGAGATGTTCAGCTAAGATGTCAATATCTGTTATGTTATTTATTTGCTGTGTGGCCCATAGGTTGCTGAAGTAGTTTTTAAAAGTATTCCATTCTGTATGTTTCTTGATATTGTTATCAGTATGTTGCACAGGAGTATTTGTAAGGTTCCATATGATGTATCTGTGGTCACTTGCAGTGATGTCATCCACAATCTCACATTTATCCATGTATTTGATCGCATTTTGATTGGCTACACATACATCCACCCAACTTTCTCCCCTATTGGAGAAAAAAGTTGGTAAGTTACTAGTGTTACAAGAAACCATATTATTGCTTGCCATAAAATCTATTAGATTTCTGCCCCGAATGTCCTCCACTGGGCTGAACCATGTTGGAGACTTAGCGTTATAATCCCCTGCTAAGATCCATGGTGAATTGTTTATTTGCTTGTTAATGATGTCCAGGTTTGTAAGAAGTTCTAGAATGTCATCATCCGGCAAACAATATATAGAAGTAATGTATAAAGAAGTATTATTCATGGAATTCTGTACTGTAGTTATATTCTCTTTGCTTAGAACTGGGTAAAAATCCATGTTTAGATCTCTGAGGGGAGAGGATCCCTGTTTTAGGTTTATTGTATAGTCCTTTAGGAGGGAAAACCTTCCAATTGCTGAAACGGATGATTCCTCCATCCAATGTGTATGGCTCTTGAAGAACCACAATGTCTATTTTCTTTTCAGTCACTGTATTTATTAGAAGAGATGAAGCTGCTTTGCATTTTTCTGTGTTGATTTGCAGCACCTTAATGTTTGTTCCTTGAAATAGTGTCCCAGAACTACTGTTTTGTAAAGATGTACAGTACTTGTTTGTTTGCAGAATCCCGTAGATGCCATAATCCATCTGTTTTATTTTCTGTGCTCTCAGTTTTTGTAGTATTGGGCAAGTTTTGTCATATGCGTTGTGATTAGTTGGAACCTTTTTTGTCATTGGCTGATCTCTATTATGTTTTATGCAATTTATGCAGCAGGGTGTATTCTGTTTATCATTACACTCGTTATATCTATGATTTTTAGTGCAGTGACTACAATATGTCTTTTCTCTACAATCTTTCGCCATATGATTGAAGCCTGCACACTGGAAACATCTGATTACAGGTACATAATCATCTAGTTTGACATTCACCCATGAAAGCGATATATATCTATGTTGAATTAGTATATTTCTGATGTTTGATGCGACAGAAAGTACCACATGTCGGCATTTCTCTTTTATATTTCCTTTGAAAATGGCTATACTAATCCTACATTTCTCTATAAATTCGTCTTTGTTGATTTGTTCCAGAATACCATTTTGATTATACATTGTCTCAAGTAAGTTTTTATTATCAACAGAGTTAGGGACATTGATGAGAATTAACCTTGGTTTCCTACCCTCTGTGACATGACATTTTATCTTTTCTTTGGTTGAGGGGATAGTTTCTATTGCTTTTAATAACTTTTCTCCATCATTACTATTTCCCACTCTGAAGCAGGCACCTTCGTTTCTAATTTTCCTTGCTCCTTTGATTTTGACCCCAATATCTGCTGGGTTGACTTCTGTCATAATTGTAGAAACCACATTCTCTATATCTATATGTGTTCCATTTTCCCCTTTCTTAGGATATACTAGGACAGCGTGGCTGCCCCCTGTTCCTTCATTGTTGAGCTTCGATGTCAGTGATTTTGATATAATTTTAGTCGTTTTACTGTAATTGTTTGTTGATTTGACAATTTGTGCATATGTTGGTTGTGAAGCAATTGGCATTTGTGTATTATTCTGTGACGTCTCATTTTTCGATCTCATTTCTTTTAATATGCCATACATTTGATGTACGGCAACAAATAGTTGTGTAAGTTCGCTGATCTGGTGGAGATTGGAAACTTTTTATTCCACTCTCGGACACCAGTGTAAGTTCGCTGACTTCCGGGGGGGAATCGTTAATCCCGCGTCAGAATGATCTAGGGTCGAACGCGTGTGGGTGTGGTGGAGGAGACACAGATGACAAGAATCTCACAAAAACCCGTTTATTTTATACATAAAATTAAACTTACGTTTAGGAACTAGAATTATCTAGATACAGTCGACTGTTTGGACGTCGTGGATGTTTATCTCTCGTCACTCGGAGATGGGCCCCGGGCTGCGGCAGATAAGGAGACTTGTCGGTAGGCGTCGGCGGCACGGCTCTCTCGATGGACACTAGTGCGGACTCTTCGTCTTCTGTGCGTTGACACACAGAGAGTTTCGCTTCGGACTTTTTGGAGTGCAAGTACTCAGTAGCACAGTTTACGGAAGAAGTCTTTCTGTCCTTGAAGATTGGGGATTATATCAATCTCCGTTCTCTAATTTGTTTTCTGATTGGCTCCCTCGTCTGTTTCTAAGCGAAAAACGATTCCTTTTCGAGTCACGAGAAAGATCCGCCTTGAAGAATCTACTTGACACCAT